GTGGGGTGGTGGTGGGGGTGGTGGTGTGAGTGGGGAAGGGGGTGGGGGTGGCGGTGGCGGTGGCGGTGGCGGTGGCGGCGGTGGCGGTGGCGGCGGTGGTGGCGGTGGCGGTGGCGGTGGCGGTGGCGGTGGCGGTGGTGGCGGCGGTGGTGGTGGTGGTGAAGTAATGACGAAGATGATGAACAACATGGGAATGAATATGAAAACGATGAAGACGAGGATCAAGATTCAGATGAGGATGAGGAGGAGGCGGAGGAAGAGGAAGATATCAAGATGGTGTCGGAGTCAACGTGATAGTGATGGTAAAGCCCTAACGAGACTGCAACACCCGCAACCGCACGCTTCTAAACCCGAAGCTGGACCCCCACACCCTGAACCCCAAACCCAATCAAACCCGAACATCGCACAAATTACAAATAAACAAACAAGAGAAGCCTGAATGCAAATAGAAGAAGGCGCGGTGAGGGTTTTAAGATTCTTCTCTGATCAGCAATTCGGCTCCACTCATGTCTGAATGATGCACTGGTTATGAATCAACAATAGTAAACCATTAAGTCTCCTATGCTGGCTGCCCGCACCGACGGAAACTTTAAGTCGAAGTCATTCTTGAGATCCCGCCCAAAGGCTCCAGGCCCAAAACGCAACATGCAATGGGCACAGTATTGTGGGTCTTGGGCAAGTCGCTAAACCTTCGAACCCATGAAAACCCAAAAGCGAGAATTCTAAAACCCCAAAGCGCCTGCCAGTAGATGAAATGCGCCCCAGCAGGATCCCAGTAGGTTGGTCTGCCGTTCACTTCTGCTGCTTGCCTTGGGTTCACTAGAGCTTTCGGCTTCAACCTCCCCGACGTGCGTGGTTCCGGGTTAGGAGTTGGAGGCTTCGGGTTCAGCACCAGGCTTTGGAAACTCTAAGCCCGAACAAACACAAGAGCTTTGGACTACTAGTAGAAGCTTTCTGCATCTTTCGGATCAGGTTGAGAACGTCTTCGCATTAACCCTGAGAGAAATGCATGAAGGACTCTAGCAAACTGGCAGTCAGCCTGCCGTCGAAACACATACATGGACCTACATCATCCCGGCTTAGATAGCTTGTGAGGCCCAACGCTTCCTTTGCGGCTCAGGGTGTACAGTCCGAGGTTCAAAAAGTTTCAGGGTTTGCGGCGGTATCCCTGCATGGATCTTACCGGCTAAGCAGGGATTCTCAGCCGTTTGCTACTATGACCTTAACTTTCCTAGGGCATCAGCCTTGGACACCATGTCCTCTACACTTGTACTTCATGCCGGCTTACCTGTTGCTTTGAGATTCCTGCATGGCACTTATGAGATCTAGTCCGTAAAGCTCCAAACATGAAACGCAACAGGGAAGTCAGACCCGAAGCATGCTCAAAACGTGCAGGCTTTGGGCCTCATGCGGATCCAGCAAGGTTCAAACCCTTCGGCCCTGAGATTGAATCCGCGAACCCTAAGCTTGACAATCTGAACCCCCAATCTGCAGACCTTCAGAAACTCTATGGAAAGAAACGCAAGACTCGTGGACAAATCGTTCCTGGAGTCATAGGCAGGGGTGCATGCGTTTTAGGTCTTTACCCTCGGATTGGGTGTGTATTTCTCTAGATTATGCTGTAGACTCTACAGGCTGTAGACGACGAGAGGAGGTTTAGGGTTGGAATAGGGTGATTTTAAGCCAGGACTTGAAGATCTGCGTCATATCGGCTCCGAATAACTCACGTGCTACAAGTAGTCTGGCAGTCTAGCAGCCCTAGAAACCAAGCCCCAACCATCACTTGTTTTGTCTCTCGCGGCATCGGGCATCGGATCAAGTCACTCCCGATCGCAGAACTTGACTTCAATAGATTTCCAGCTGTATCCCAGCACACGGGATCAACGAGGCGCGTCTGCCAGCAAGGCAGAACTTGTCTCCTTTAGCTATCTCGGCTATTACCACATAATCGGGCAGAATGCACTTTGAAGGTCATTAGCAACTTCTGGATGGGATCTTTACCGCATCGCACACAGCTCTGCCAGATGCACAGATGCACAAAAGCCATAACTTGCTGATGGGCATGTCGCTAAGCAAAGGCGTCGCGACTTCATGCAGCGTCTAGGGCAGAAACCCACCGCCAAAGAATTTTGTTTCCACATGAAACCTAAGCCCCGACCTACATAAGTCTCCAATTCAACCCGAAGCGGATGTTTCCTGAAATGATCAGTCATGTGGAGTTCTGGCCGGACCCATCTCGACCCTGTACAGAGCTTTTGCGTTTCTGGAACATCGCTGCCTGAATCTGCCAGACTTCCGAAGGCCCTAAGCCCTGAACCGAAGCAATAACCCTTGGTCCGCTCACTGAGTTTTTGTGGTTGATTGAGGAAGTCTAGGGTTTGGGACTTACAGATTCGCATTGGAAGTACACTAAAGTTGTAAACCATTTTAGTTCTCTGGTGTCCTGCCCGCGATTCTGCGGCAGTCTTTGCCGTCTTTTGGTCGCGACGGCATGTGCATGATACAATAGGAAGGCAGCAAAAGACCAAGTCAATCCTTCTGAAATCGAGCCGCAACCCCAACGATCTGACCGCTGAGTGGGTCAGTTCAGAATCGGGGCTCAGAGTTCAAGGTTCAGGAACCAGGGTTCAGAATTCAGGTACCGGCGTTGCGGGTGTGGGAGCAAGCTATCCCGCCCAAAAGGTTCAGTTGGGTACAGGGCTGCGTATGTTATTTGGGGTGGTGTTCTTCCACCGGAATAAGCATACGACTCGTGCCCAAGATGAGGAAGTCGTCAACCAAGAACGCCCAAGCAGTGAGGCTTTAAACCCGACTCCGTGATTTCGACCCTGAAAAAAAAGGCTTATTTTGCAATGTTTAGCTGTTTTGCGGATTTCTAACCGCCCTCCTCTGCTCGTGCTGATGGAAAATCGTCCTAAAGGACCCAGCGCCGAGACATAGGAGCCCTCTAGGTTCTAAGGCAATAACGTGCAGCCATTGGATCTTCGGTTGAGTTCAGAGTTTGGGTTTAGGTATGTTTAGGCTCTAGGTTCTTGGGTTTAGCGATCTCTGCCACGCATGAGTCGCTGCCGCAGCATCATGTCCCAAACCCGTAAGCCCCTTCAAATTTCCGAGACCACAACCTCAGATTTCTTATGGGCGCTCTGGCATCTAGAGTTAGAGGCGATTGCTCCACTGACAGGCTTTTGGGTTCGGGAGCTAGCTTATTCAGGATCTCGGTGTAGAGCGTAACAGTGCCAAAATATCGGACCGAGGATCCATGGCATAGCCTTCATAGATATGCCAGGTATGTTGAGGGCTGGATTCGGCAGGCTCTTATCACGAAGTGCCGCCAGGCCAAGACTGCCTAGGTTTCCGAAACGGAGACAGTCCTCGAGTCGCCAACTTAGGCGAGCTGCGCAGGGCCAGGCTGGAGCTTAAGTCCAAGCCTGTTGTTGCCTACAAAAACGGGGTGTTTACCCTGGGTTCACGATTCAGATCATTGGACCCTTAAACCATACAAAAGCACCGGTCAGTCGTTGTAGTCACGGATGGTGGCCGAAGAGCCCCACTCCGTCCGTTTTCCTTCAAGGGCGACGACGGGTTTGGCATGGGATCTCGGATGTCGCGTTATGCCGAATGCAAATGCAACGACCGAACTTGGGGACGGTGCACCGGGAGTTCGAGTGGTTGGATACAGCCCTGAAAGTAGGACCCCGGTGAAGCCAGTAGATCCAATAGCTTTGGGTTTAGGGTTATAGAGATCTCGACAGGAAGACAGATCGACAGATAGATAGACAGACAGACAGACAGACAGACAGACAGATAGACAGACAAATTAGATAGAAAGGTAGATAGATGGATAGACGGATAGACAGATAGACGGACAGACAAAGTAGATAGACCTTCGGGGAAGCCAGGACTATAAGGAAGAAAAATGGACTTTGAACCCATGCTGCCAGCAAAAGTCTTTTCAGCGCAGACATGCCTCTGAGAATGACATTCAGGAGCTGTGTAGAGAAAACTTGCGACGCTCTAAGTTTCAAGGCTACATGGTCCCTGAAAGTCGTTTTCACAAGCACATCTGCACGCTCTGGACTTTTGCTGCCAGGCGTGGGTTAAGAGCCCATTCCGCAGAAACGAAAACCTCTGCCATAACTTACCGACGTGTGACCAGATAGGTAGATGGATACGTAGATACGTAAATAGGTAGAAGATAGGCAGGCAGGCAGGCAGGCAG